GCAGCATGGAGGCTGGAACTCCAACTCCTACTACGACTACACCGCCGGCAAAGGCCGAAACAAAGGCAAGGACAAGGAAAGCATCGGGAACAGTATCCAGAGGAAAACCTCCGGCCCTGGGACCGCGATCCTGCGACCACGCGAAGATGGAGATGAATCAACGCTTGGTCTTCCTCGCCTATCAGTTCGTGACCTCTGAGCTTCGCCCATGGAATGCCATCGCGAATGCTTCTTTCTTCGGTGACGCCTGATTCGTTTGTCATTTCAGGGGATCGTTACTGACGTAGATGAGTGTCACAACGTTTCTAATTGGGATGCAAAGCTCTGATTTTCAATGCCAACGTTGCGGCGGAACATTTTCTGTTGTCCTATCGTGCCATCTTCCGGGTGAGCAGCGTCGGAGACGCAACTCATGGGGGGTGCGAACGGACTGCGATGCCTTGTCAAGTTCTAAGGTGTCACTATAAGAGCTGTGAGCAAGACCGTGTAAAGTGCAAGAGAAGGGGGCACGCTACGCGTCCCTCGACTCTAAGGGGGCATGCTACGCATCCCTCATCTTTACCTTTCTATGTGACCGCCAACGCAACGTTTGGCTCAAGTCAATGCCCATAGCTAAGTGCTATATGTGTCTTCTATCCTGAGCAATCAGAGCTATCCCGTTGCACAGACGAACCGCCGCCGGCAGTGAGTGCAAAAGGAACGGCCGCCGGTTCTGCCTGCATAGGATTGCACGTGTGGAAGTAAGAGGGAGAGACAGGGTCCAGTCTGTGGAGAGTGCAAGCCAGCCACACCTACATTCATTACAGCTCTGGTGGGGAGAGCAGCAACCAAGTCGAGATCAATCCCCCACGCACTATTGTACTACCACTGTACTACTGTTGTATTACTATTGTACTACTGCACTACTAGTGTACAACTACTGTACTACTATTGTACTACGGTACTATAATCGTACTACTACTGTACTACTACTGTACTACTATTGTGCTACTATTGTACTACTGTACTATTATTGTACTACTACTGTACTACTATTGTACTACCACTGTACTACTGTTGTGTTACTATTGTACTACTGCACTATTATTGTACTACTACTGTACTACTACTGTACTACTATTGTATTACTGTACTATTATCGTACTATTACTGTACTACTACTGTACTACTATTGTGCTACTATTGTACTACTGTACTATTATTGTACTACTACTGTACTACTATTGTACTACCACTGTACTACTGTTGTATTACTATTGTACTACTGCACTATTATTGTACTACTATTGTACTACTACTGTATTATTTCTACTGTACTACTATTGTACTACTGTACTATTATTGTACCGCACAAAGCTTCAGACGTGGTCGATTGTGGGTGGGAGTGTGTGAGTGTAGGTTACGGAGGCAAAAGCGTTCAAAATGAATGGTTTTTAGTCTTGGTAGTAGTCTTGGAGTGATCGGGGCTTGGTTTCCAGCATTTGGTGATCCCCAGACCCCCCCGACCCCCGACCGCGCATTCGCGCAGAACCGCAGACCCTGCACCCAAGCCAACCCCCCAAACCCCGGCACCTCCCAATTCCCTGCCACTCAGACCCCTGACCCCTGTCCGGCTCCACTTTAAATAGAATTTCTTTTTTTGGTCGGGGGGGGGGGGGGGGGGTACCCCACTATTAAACCGACACCCACATTAAAACCTAACGCGTAATCCTAAACCCCCTTATCTTAAGCCTGAAGCCTACGCATCATCAGCCGTAAAACCCAAGAAACCATCCCTCCGTTTCGACAACGACACCGAAGTCACCGCAAACCTTTGTCGGCACTGAGCGAAAGGATGGGTTGATTTTGGAGTGTCTTAAGGTTGATCGGGGTCAGTAGGGTTCCTTTTCAAGGGGTCCATGTAAGGGTTACTATAAGGGATCTATAAGGGTACTATAGTATAAGGGCCTCAATAATGAGGTTTCGGGGTATATTATACTATAGTACGCTAACTAATTATCGCTGACAGCGACTCCGCCCAAGCAACACATGCAGAGAATCGAGACTACGACTCAACGAATCCGCCCGATCAAACCCGGGCGAGCAATTTGGACAAACCACCAAGCTCAGAAAATCAACATTCCAAGCACAGGCACCGAAGCGACGCAAGCGATCAAAAGAACAGACTGACAAATAGCATACAAGCAGCCGGCCCTGTAGACAGCTAGCTAGTCAAGGATGGGGGGGTATTGCCGTGACCGAGTCCTTCAAGCAACTCGCGGCACTGAACACGTTTCCACGAGTTTCAGAGAATAAATAGGACTGAATAGGAACGGGACATCTAGCATATAATGTGGAGGCCTAATTAATTAGAGTAGGGTTTTGGGCCCCGATGTATTATGACTATAACTATATTGGTAATTATGTAGGCCCCTATATTATGCAAAGGGCCCGAGGGCCCGACCGCACCAAACAAGGCAGAACTCGAGAAGAACGAGCTTCAAGTAAAGAGCGCAATGAAAAACGCATTCAGAAGGAAACTGCGCATGCAGAAAGCGAAAAACTGGAACAACATTGCAAAGACTGCAATAAAACGTCATAGCAACGCGACGACAGGTGCACAATTCCACACGACACGAAAACAAGCTAGCAGGAAACACGCAACGAATAGAATGAAGCAATGGCACCTTAGCTTCATATTTTCACCAAACTTTAAGCTCTGCTAACAACTGGTCAAACACCAGATTGTCGCAGGCCTGAATTCCATAGCTTCTCTGACCTTAGCCTACGACCCTTAAAAACCCTAAACGCCTAGATTCTGAAAGTTCAAAAAGACGATTTTGCAGACTGCCAACGTCTTCAAACTCCTAGAACTTACGGTTCATAAACCTAGAATATTCAGAAGCCCCGGACTCCGGGATGCTAAGCTCAGGGCAGCAAAGGATGCCCCGATGGCATCTCTGCTCGCAGGAAGCGGCAGCCCTCTGCTGTAGGGTCGCCCATCGCGATCCTTGAGGTTCTGCCAGGGTGTCGCGTGGGGTCATAAAGGGTACAGAGATTCGGTCTGAATTTCATGGGTTAGGCTTTCGGGTTCCGTTCCAGGGTCTGCTGTTTGGTTTCGGGTTCCGTTCCAGGGTCTGCTGTTTGGTTTCGGGTCTGAGGTGTTGGCTCTTGGGTTAAAGGATTGAAATGAACAACCCTAAGCCCGAACCCCATCAACCATGGTAAAACTGAATGCTTGTAACGACCGACCAATGAACCGGCAAGCAGGGTCGATGTTGAACCTCAGCTGGTCAGCCTTGCAAAGCTCCAAACCAGGGCTAAACGGATCAACAGTCCTCAGCTCAAAACCACCCAGACCTTCCAATATCCCTTAATGAGTATATAATTACCTTACATCATAATCACTAGGGATCCTACTACAATTTAAAATAGATTCCTCAGTTGAGGGATATTGGAAGGTCTAGGCAAATCCATGAACCCTACGGTGGACCCTAGTGGGAGCACTCTAGGGTTTCCTGTGCCCGAGTGGTAGTCAGTATACCCCAATTGTCAAGCGGAGGCAGGGCGCTAGGTTTTCAGAAAAGCGCCTGAACAATTACCAACACCATTCCTTCCGGTTCCTTGGTTCCCGACTATACAACAACGTACCCCCAAACCGGTGTGGGGCGTGAGGCCTTACTGCGGAGAATAAGATCTTAGGGTGCATCATGGCATAAGTGCCATAGGAATTACAGCAGGATGATTTCCACCTATCTGTGTATCTATATGTTAAACTGTCTGTACATAACTAAGTAAAAAAACATTATATACGTATATACATGTTTGTACTCATATGCACATACGTACCTACGTACAGACGTACATATGTGCCTGCATGCATACAAGCATATACAAATCCATACGTACATGTGTATGTCTGCATATCTCTTGTATGTATATATATATATATGTGTATGTATGTCTATACAGATAGATACGTATCAAATCTAACTTCTGCCTTCATACACGGCTTGAATCCATGGAAGGGGTCCTGGAATTCCCAAAGTTCCAGCACTGAATACGGACCCTTGACGTGTTTTCAGAGTGCGGTTCAGTTTAGGGCTATGTAACAAGAGTGCTGAGAAGTAAAGGGCGTGCGAAACATCAGGTTTGTCTTTTGAAGGCCTCTCTACATCCGCAGACATATTTAGGGTTTAGAGTAAATGTCTCCTACGGTGTTTCTTTTCAAGGCCTCTGTCTCCCACTGTTCCTCTTCATTCTTTCGAGGCTCACCTTGCGAGATGCGACCAGCTGCATCAGAGCCTCCGGCTTGTACCGGTTTCGGTGCAAGACTTCCATAGCTGGGGGCTTCAGATATGTAGAACAAATTGTTTTGATTTATGTAGCTACAAATATACATACATACATATGTATATGTATAAATACATATGCTCATATTTAGATCTCTCGGTATATGTATAATAGAGTTACCAGAGGATTTAAAGTTTAGGGTACTGCGAGCCTAGGACTTCCATACCCTACGTACCCTGCGAACACCGGGCATCCACTGGGGGTGATGGGGCTTAGGGTGTAGGGTTTTAGGGTTTAGTTTAAGGTTTAGAGTTTAGGGTTTAGTTTAGGGTTCAGGGTTTAGTTTAGGGTTCAGGGTTTGCCGTTTTTTCCACGCTACCTGGCAAGGACGAAGCCCGCATTGCAGGGAATCTTGGTTGAACAGTTGAAAGCAGCTTAGAGTGTAGGGTTTACGGTTTCTCATTTTCTCGGCATGTTCTGTTCAATATAGGCGCCTTAACAGCTAGAATTGGGTTTGGTGGTTAGAATATGTATGGACTATGAGGTGTGTTTTGCTAATTGTTCAGACCTCCATGTTACTTTGTAGTGGAGGATCCAGAACAACCGTAAACTCTTCCTTCAACCAAGGTTTTCTGTTGTGCCTGGTGCAGACCATCCATGCAATCATCTAAATCCCCAAACCCCCAACCCTGCAGCCCTCAATCCCTGACCTCGAGCTTCCTACAGTCCTACAAGGCCTCCTTCAGAAGCTTGAGCCGCGGAGGCCGCGCCAGGAATCGGTAGAAGTCCACGGCCGTGAGCCCGGATGCCTGCCAAAGACTTTCTTCTCGAGTGCTTCCGGCTCAGGCCGCTTCTTGCAAAAGTTTACGGCTCTGGCTTTCACATGGTTTCAGTAGGGTTTAGCGTTTCGGGGTTTCGGGCTTAGGATTTGGTGGTTATACCTGATTTCAAACTGACATCCCACACGGTAAAATGCAAATGTTTTCGGGCTTTAGGTTGTCAGGGTTTAAGCTTTGGGGTATCTGCAGTTTAAGACTAGGAGGTTTGGGATTTAGTGGAAGCTCGGCGGAGATGCAGATGCATGTTGACAATGAGGGTAATCGACTGACTGTCCCTTTACTTGTGCTTGGAACCTGGGTGTCCTGGGGGTGGACCCTGATCATTCCTATCAATCTGGCAGAATACCAGCATCTGCGTCCATCGGCACCTCTTCTGGCCCATAAGGAAACCCTAAACCCCAATGCCTTCAACCGTTTCGACTCACACACTCGCACAAGGCTGGCATGGATTCCTGCATTATGCCGTTTAGCCTTTAGGGTTGAGGGCACGCCGGAGTTCAACTAAAAAGAATAAACGAAGCCGGCCCTCCTGCCTAGAAACCGAGACCCCGCAAGCTGAAAACTCCCTCAACTGATTTCAAAGGCTCCTCGGTTTCCCAGCGCAAAGGAGGAAGCCGGTACCGGAAGAGGCGTGGTCCCATTGTGAGGCCCCTATAAATCCGGATCTTTAGTTGGAAACCTCAAGCCCCCCAGCCCCCACAAGCTGCAAACCCTTGAACCCCACTAACCACACTTTGCCTTGCTCAATGTCTGCAGGACCTCGCGTTTTTTCTTCTGGGGTTAAGGGCTTCTTTCAGGAAACGTCGTGTTGCAGTATCTTCTTACACGACTTGAAAGGCTCTCAGGATAAGGTACCGAAATCCATAGGGCCGCAAGCATCCCTTATTCGGGCTCAAGAGCTTCCACGAGTTGTTGGGGCTTGGGTTTTGAGCTTAGGCTTCATTGGAAAGGCCTCGATCGCCGCCTAAACCAGTGAACTCTAAACCCTAAACCATGAAAACCGCCAAAACAATTAAACCCGGACCCTCTAGAGGCTCTAGAGCCTCGTGCTAATTACCTTCATGTAACACATGCGAACTTTGCTTATCCATCGCCCCCAGCCCGGCGAAATAGTAGGATGTGACCCCAGAAATATACGGCGTAACCCTGAAGCCAGTCTACTAAACCCTCTAGGCCCGAAGCCAGTAGGTACTAATAGAGGGCCTGAATAGTTAGAATGGGGTTTTGGGGTTATATTCTACTAATATAATAAGGAACCCCCAATATATTATGGGTAATTATTAAGGCACCTATTGTAGGTAAGGGAGCACCAGCAAGACTGGCTCCCTTTTGAATCCCAGTGCGGCTACGACAGTCGCTACCATTTTTTCATAAAGAGGTACTTCATTTTGGGGTCCTTATAGTAAGGATCCTCCTATTTAGGGTATTATATTCGGGTTCCAAAAAGAAAAGCCCTAGTAGCCCAAGACAGAATGGGGACTGATATGCTACATCTCTAGGCATGACCTGATGCCTGAAGATTTAAGAGTCCGACAATCGATTGCCTTAATTGAATCACCGAACCCTAAACTCAAAGCACAAGAAGCGCATCAATCCTAAATGCCAGTTGCAGACCCTAAACCCTGAAAGACGACCATGGGCCATAAAACTCAGAGCCACACCGCACTTGTCACCTCACTGCTGCTGCGATCCAGCCTTGTCACGGAGTTCAGGCTTGGCTAAGTTCTTCCGGTTCATGTGGCGTGTGTAACCTTTGAGGCGGAGGAGATTTGGAGTTCTCGGTGTAGGATGTCGGCACCGGGACGGTTTGAGCATGTCGGCTTTAGCTTGTGATACTTTGTGTGTACATCTACTACATACAGCCATGCATGCAGCACAGAAGCCCCCCGCTCTACATAAGATAGGTGCCTTAATAACCAGAGTTGGGGTTGGGGGCATATTCGACAATAGTGATTACAAGGAGTTCTAAGCAATAGCATACTGAGAACTCACGCTTCTGTGGTTTCAGGGGTCTTTTAGCGGCCTTATGACATGTCGCCTTGCGACTCATAATGTCATACCTGAGCTAGGTTTGCCTCTATGATGCCTGCTTACATATTTGTGGGATCCGGGAAGTTACGGAGCAACGTGGGAGAAATAAAAATACGATCTCCTTGAAAGTATAGTTATTAGTATGGCTTCTAGGGTAGAAGCCTAATTAACTAGGTTCCTTGTTACAACTTGAGAGTAGTTAATAAGCATGCTTCCAAGTGCCATAACGAGGTGGGGGGGGACTTCGCACTCGCCTGCTGCACAGGATCGGCAACATGAACCCATGAAGGACATTGGCTAATTCTAAGCAGGACATCATTCAGGCTGCAGTTCTGACTCCCCTGCCGCAGGAAGCCCTGAAAAGACAAAAAGGAACAGATCTCCATGGGCGACGTGGCGGATTCGATACCAGCATGCCTTTCAGAGGTCGTTAAACACACCCGTAAGCTTCTGTCCGGAGCTGCCAATCTTGAAGCTATCCGAGGGACTCGGAGTGCCAGGCGTTGAGAGAAGCCACGGCAGCATCGCCTTGGTGGCAGGGTTTAGGGTTTCGGCGCTCACAGTCGGACAACCAAGGCTTAGGGTTTAGGGGACGCAGCATCTTGCATCAGGACTCGTGCAATCGCCAGTACATTGACTTCCAAAAGATGCAGAAAACTAGGAGAACTGTAAACTGTACAATTGCTGGGCATTGGTCCTGCTTGTTCACTCGAAGTAAGGCTGCAGCACCTAAGGCTCCAAGCAAAAGTGCAGAAACCTCAAGATCCTGCCCTTGGGGTCCAGTTTAAGGGGATGTTGAGATCCTCATTAGGTGGCCTACGGGGCTCCGAGCTGCTTAAGAGACAACTCTGGATTTTGCAACAGATGTCTGCAGAGTGATGCATGGTCGCATCACCACTTCTAGCACAGAGACAGGAAACATCTGTTCCTCACTTCCTCGTCTTGGCATGGTTGAGCTAATCGCTACTGACACGCTCACATTATTCCTTTGAAAGAGACGAAATTTTCGGCCGTTAGAGCCTGCAACTTAAACCCGACAAACAGCCAAAAAACGCAAAGACTCTGAACTGAAAGCGGCTGTCGCAAGAGGAAGAGATGCTGGAATGGTGTCGCAACTACCCGGTGGAAGCCTCCCTGCTGCTGTAGCGCACTGCTTCTGTATCTCTGCAATCTGCTTCAGGTACACGGCCCGGACAATTTCCTTGATCCGCTTGCGATGAATGTTCAAACACCAGGGCCGGTCGCAACACTGACTTGGAGGACCCTGCGGACCTTGCAATGAAGTTCAAGTGGTGCTTGGCCCCTGTAGGGCAGTTTCCTAGGTTCGCGGATCCCCCGAGCATCGAAGCAGCTAACGACTTGAACTACGCGTTGCGGCTGAGTTTAAGAGTCGGAAACGATTGCGATGATTGCGAGGGGATTTCACGGAATGCCACGGTGTGCCATCTTGCTGCACTCGTCCCTAGCTGCCCCGAGTAAAATATTTCGAACCTCCAAGAACTGCCAAGCCTCATAGACCCGACTCTTCCGCTCAAGAGTGATCACGTAGCCCTAGCCACCAGTATCTGATTTGTCTCTGGATCTTCATACCAACGATTTTAATACAGTAGTTACAACCTGAAGACATTAAAGTGACCCTACGAGCAAAAAGCCGTGATAGGCTAAGGTAGCCTAAGTGGCCAGGAGTGCTTCTTGGTCTCGGTCGTCACAGAGGCTGCGTGCGAAGTTGGCGGAGGCATCCTCAAGAAGCGTGTTGATAATTTTTTGTCGTTGGTGGCGGACTTTAAAGCTGGTTTTGCAAGGCTCAAGTAGATTCTGTTGTTTTCCAGAACTAAATTGGATCTGGTGTTTGGAATTGAACTTTTTCTAGGTTTTATAACGCCATATAGAGGCTTTACTTGCGCGCCGGGTAGGTTTCCGGATGATGGCCGGGCATCCCTCCGACCTGCCAAGCGAGGCCTCCGCGTCGATGAATCGTGAATTCTGCTTGCAACTCTTATCTTGCGATTCGTGCGATCAATTTCCAATGTCGATACTAAGTAACCAAACCAACAGCCATAGTAACTATCATTAATGGTACTACTAGTAGTCGACTATTGGTACAAGTACTACTTGTACTATTCGTACTACTAGTCAGCACTACTAGTACTACTCTACTAGTACTCGTATCAGGAACTAGTACTTGGACTAGCACTAGCAGCACGACGACGACGACGACTACAACTACTACTGCTATTACTACTACTACTACTACTACGACTAATACTACTACTACTACTACTACTACTACTACTACTACTACTACTGCTACTACTACTACTACTACTATTCAATTGAACGCTGTGCGAGCGGGCTCTGCACATAGCGGGCGATTGCCGCGGTGCACTCACTTTGGTGTGAAACTGACTCAGACCCTATAGCTGATCAGCCCAGGTCAGAAAGACCGATGAGAGAGCTGTTGCGGCCTACAGGCTTTGAGCGAACTGGCAGAGATCAACCAAAGCTATTTTGCAGGCTGCAAACTATCGAGCTCCAACTTGTTGTGACGTACCTGAATGTCGGGATATGATCCGCGTGGTGCATGCTGGCAGCAATGCAGCTGTAACGTGTCTGGCAGCGGGCTTGGGCATGTTTTTCCGACTGACAGCGGCGGCATCAAGCAGAAGGGCTATCAGTCCGTCTTGGAGGAGACACGAAGAAACAGGCATTGCCTCCGCTGCTAGTTGCGCATTCTGCCATTGGCACCATATGTGTCAGGCAGGACTCGCTGATGCCAGGAGCGGCTGCCACCGGCCCCAGAGTCTGAGCCAGCTCAGCGTTGGAGAGGGCATGCAGGGCTCTGCCTGACCGCTGCTTGCCGCCGCCGGATGTCTGGCGTCGAGTGTCGCCCCGAAAAGGCTCGGAAGGCTCTCCCATTTGTGAATCCGGAGCTAGGGGAGAGGTGGTGCGACCATGTTGGTGGTCTGGGCTGTGAATCGTATCAGCCATGCTGGGTCAGCCTTAAAAGTTGCGGGTAAGCCTGCGCATGCCTAAAGCATGCTTGGCCTTGACGTGGGGGGGGCCATGCCCACCTATTGTGGGGTCCGGCCTTCCCACGCACAGGCACCCTATTGGTGCACGCGTTCCTAGTCTGGGAGGGCCAGCACTCACCCCTTGAGGGTGAGTCAGAGTCACTCCTGTCTTCTCAAGAAAAGGAGGTAGCAGTCTTCCATTACATGTTTGCGATCTGAGGCCGAGGCCGGGTATGGGCGGGTGGCGTCATCACCCACATATAGTACGCCTCCGTTGGGATGAATCCAGAAGGACCGGTAGTGCCCGGTGTGTATGTCAGCACCGATGTGAAAGATTCCCGAAATGACTGCGTACTGGTGCCATTGCCGGACTTGTCCCTCTGTCCAAGACGGCAGAGAGATGTGCCTGCGCAGGTCTAACGGGGTTCGTCGCTTTGTGCCATCCATCCATCGAGCAACAGTGACTGGTAAGATGTCTGGGGCCCATGACAGGGCGCGCTGGAACATGTGGTTGTACCAAGCCGTACAGGCCTGCTGCAGTGTGCGACAGGCGGAGGAAATCGGCAGCAGGAGCGGCGTGAGACCATCGTCCTCACTCTCCGGCACTCCATTGGTGCGTCCCTCCCAGCGAGCTGGTTGCAGAGTTCCCGTGTTGTGCTCTAGCAGATACGTTGCAAATTCGGAGGCGTCTTGTTGACGGCCATCGAATCGCCATCTTGGCACTAGGGACCGGAGAGCGAAGAGGCTTGGAGGATTGATGGGCCTCGCATCCGTTGGATCCGCTTCCGTGCTTGTGCAGTGTTGTACCAGTGGTTCCAGCTCCGCTACATTGGACGCAGATTCAAGCGCCGCTAAGAGGGCTTGAATGGTCGCGTTGACGTAGCATGTGTTACCCGAGTTCAACATGTGCCGCATACGAGAGTACAGGCCCGGCGGGAGAGTGCTGCCGGCGGCACCTGTCGCCGCCATGGCGTCAGGTGGCGATGAAGCCACGGCAGCTGGCTTGTCTGCAGCCGCGAAAAAACCACTAAGTGACATTGTCACCGCGGTCTTTGGATGAGGTTTGGAACATTGTTCCCGCATCTTGTCGGTGCCTTGTACCTTGTGCCACCCAAGCAGGACCTGAAACAGGACAATGCACTGCTCCGGGTGCTTGCGTTTGTCATATACCTGCAGCTTACAGAAGGGACACGAGTGCCCCTGATCATCTGCACTGAATATGCCCTGCAAAGCTGAATTGCTGCCGGACCGTCACGTTGCCAGGCCAGTGCATGGGCCTGTCTGTGATGATTTTTCATCTTGGTGTGGTCCGGGGTCCAAAAACCGCACAAGATGCACCGATGTTTGAGCTCCTGAGCTTCGGGCTGGGTGGCAAGGGCACTGAGTCGGTTGCTTGGCGAGCTCTGCACCTTAGCTCGGAAGGCCGCCAAGCCCTGGAGGGCCTGACCTTGCAGCAGTTCCTCCGTGGTGAAGGAGATCTGGCGCAGGCGATCCGGCTGCGTGCAGGCCCCCGACAAGAGATGGTCGCGTCATTGATGGAAGGCCTTGTCGCATGCAGAACAGACAGGTAGACCGTCCTTAGAATGCCGACTGCGATCAAAGGAGGGGGGAATGTACCTCGACACGTGGTCGCGATGCATTCGCGTAACGTGCATGTGTAAGCCGTGTGCAGAGACAAAGCCAGACCCGCAGTGAGGGCAGGAATGAAGTCTCTGCTGCGAGGCTTCAGTAGATGCCGGAAGGTTTTCGACCTCTCTCAGCATGTCCTGCAGGTCCTGTACAACGTGACTCATTTGCGTGACATCACCATATGTAGCTGGCCGTGACGGCTGCTGGTGTGCTTCTGAGCTTGTTGCTGAGGGACCCAGCTGGGCCCATGGGCCTCGCGTCACCGAGGATGCGTTCGCCGGCAGGGCTGAGGGGATGGCTGCCAACTTTCCTTCCGGGTTCCCAGCCCAGACACGAGGGGCCGAATTGTCAGGTTTTGAGGAAAAACCGATGATTCGGCTCCCGGCCCCAACACGAGGAGCCGAATTGTCAGGTTGTGAGGAAAAACCGATGATTCGGCTCCCGGCCGAATTGTCCTTTTCGGAGGGAAAACCGACAATTTCGCCTCCGGCTGTTTCTGAAGAAAGACCTGCGGAAGCGGCTGGGCGCACACACATAGGCTCTGAGAGCCCTTCAAGAAAGTTAGCAGGGATGGCCTCGGGGTTGCTTGGTCTTTTGCACAACCGCTTAAGTCTGGAAGTCATCCTAGCTTGAATTTTAGCTACCGGGTCTTGGATTGAGTGCAGACGGTACAGGTCTGCGGTGGGCGTGTGGCTGACATGAGCAGGCTGATTGAGGACTGAGCGTATTTTGTGCGCATACCATCCTCTGAGATGCCTGACCGTCTCCTCCGTGAGGCCGACCTCGGGAAGTCCCGTGACCAAAGTGGCCCATACGGTGGTGAACCAAACCTTCAGCCTGGCCATGGGCCCCGCGGTACGGCGATTGTAAACGAATCGCTTAACCTGCTGGAGCTTTTTTGGCAGCTTCTGCTATGCGGAAGCGCAGCGTCTGCATTTCAAAGTTACCATAGGAAATTTGGATGCCCAGGTACTTGACTTGCGTCTCAAGTCTGTAGGCAGGGAAAGATTTGTGCCTGCCTAAGCGCCAATGCCTCTGTAGCTTGCCCTCCGAGTCGGGGAGCCAGCAGGTGTGTTTCTGAAGTATGGCCTCCGCCTCCCTGCCGTTAAGCTTGACGAGTATGGCACATTTGGCCGGGTTGACGCGCAATCCCAGTTTCTCCACCTCCGACAGAAGCTGTAGGATCATCTTGTGAGCTGCGTCCACGTCAGCTTTGCTGCGGATGGTGCGATGCATGGTGAAATCGTCCGCGTATCCTGTGAAGTATTTGCGGACACTGTCCCAGCCAAACGTGTCGATCAACCTATGAAGAAGGCGGCCCGTGAGCACAGAAAACAACGTGGGGGCCATCTTGCAGCCTTGTTTGATGCCCGTGGTGGTTTCCACGTCCTTGTAGGCCCCCTGAGAGTGAAGTCTGTACTTGGACCGATGATGAAGGCCATGTATGAGCTTCGGAAGGGAGGGGTCCGCACCCAGTTCATCGAGCAGGGACAGAATCTCACTGCGAGAGACAGTGTCGAATGCCTGTGAAAGGTCAAGAGCGAAAGTGATGCCGCCGACTAGGCCCACAGGACATTGTCCCCGCTGTTGATCTGCTCGGGTGAGATTCGCATTGCGACAGAGTTGCCTGGCTTCCCTCAAGTGCTGAAACTGAACCACTCTACTCTGTGCGTGAGAGAGACCTCTCCCAGGGAGGTACGCAAACTGGGGCAGTGGCTTCATGTACGGCACTGTGAGAGGCTCCAGGAGCTCCTTGGCCGTGCCCGCCAGTCCCTTAGCATCCGGGCGAAGGATGCCCAGTGGCCTTAGTTGGGAAGGCTTGTCTGCCGGTTTACCCGGTTTTGGTATGAGGCAAAGATCCGCGCGAGTCAGATCGTCGTCCAGGGACTGGTCCTGCGCCAGACTGGAACAGTACTGTGAAAGCGCCTCTGAGACCGGCTGAGCGCAAAGTTTCCAGGCTGCGGCCGGTGCCGCTCCTTTTGGAACTGCCTTGCGAGGTTTGATCGAGGCAATGTGCTTCGCTAACTTGGTCTGTGGCAAGAGGGGCAACAGTCCCGAGTCTGACGGAAGCTGTGGATGCGCCGCGAAGACCTTGGCTGCATACTGCCCCAGTTCATCCAGTTCGTTCGCTGGACTGAGCAGGAAGCCCTGCTCGTCCTTGAGCTGTGCTTTCAAGGCCGGTTTCCACGGACGGAGATGCTTGAGAGTCTGATATGCAAGGTGCTGGTCGCCCTGGCTTAGAGCCTGATCCACCTCAGCAAGAAACCGCTTTGTTTGGCATTTTCGAGCCTGCTTAACCGCTTGTTTATGCTGCTCACACAGGGTTTGTCGGGCCTCATCATCCGGCGATGACTCTGCCCTGGGGTGAGCATTGCTCCCACGCGCAGAGCGCCACATGCGTCTGGCTATGCGCGTTTCCGGACTATCTGGCATTGCCACCGAGGTCTTAGGGAAAAACCTAGATGTCGCTTCGCCAAGGAGACGATCCCAAGACGCCGGCTGCATGTCCGGGGTGAGGCGTGCTTTGACCCACTCGAGCATTTGCTGGGCTGGCAACGTGTTGTCCCTGACAGCTGCTTGCAGGGCAGCAGAGTCGTAGTGATGTTGCTGTAGCTGAGGAGCAGGCAGGTTCCAGTGCCGAACTGGCTTGACAGTGGCACTTATGGGCAAGTGCCCGCCTTTTTTCCAGCTGCCCAGCGGGAAATCCGCCAGCGGCGTAGAGGCTTTGGCATTGCCACCGGCAGAGACCTCCCTCGTGAGCACAAAGTCAATCTGAGTGCGCGTTTCCCCTTGCCGAAAGGTATGTGTCGGCTGAGGCCTCCACGTGTTGAGAGCAACTAAGCGATGATTGAGTAGAAAGTTGGTTAGCTCTGGCTCGTCGGGCCTCGGTTCTTGTGGGCAGATGGTCTCGGGACCTACCAGCCTAGGCTGCTTTTGTAAGGAGCTATTGAAGTCTCCTGCCAGGATGAGCGTGTCTCTGTGCGGCACTCGCTGCACGCATCGGCCGAGAGCCTTCAGGACGTGCGCTCTGTCCTGACGGTTAGTCTGCACCTGCTTGGCCGGGGACCAAACGTGTTGGTAGACAGCAACTAGCGTCATGCGGGCCCCATGCCAGTCAAACCTGACTTCCAGGGCTCTGCCTATGACATGTTCCTGCCAGCGCACACTCTTGGGCAGGATGTGTGGGGACAGGAAGACCATGACCCCATCCGCGCGAG